GGGGTGCGTCCGGCTGCGGCGCATGCGCGTCCTAGGGTGCTCGAGCGGGAGACAGAAACCAGCAGGCGCGGCCGTTACTGCGGGTAGGAGCTGGGGTTACTGACCCGCGCCTGCGCACTGGCCCCGGGGATGCTGCGTGCGGGGCGCACCCCCCCCGGGGGCCGGGCAGCCTCCACCGTTAGCCGTGTCCGGGGGGGGTCGTGGGGTAACGGGGCTGTGTCCGTGTGTTGCGGCGCCCCGACGCCTCGCAGCCCGGCGGGGTTGTGTGACCCTCCCTTTCCTGGACAGAATCCGTCCAGCGCCGTCTCTGGCGCAGGGGACGGGGCCGGGGCAACCTCCCCCCCACTAATGGGGCCTGTTAGAGGGTGGCTGCAGCCCTGTGCATGGGGCCCGCACGGTGGGCACCATCCAGCCACCAGGAGGGGGCAGGGCGGCCTGGCCTGAGTGGGGGAGGGGGGCCTGCAGCCCCGGGCAGGGTGACCCGGTGTGGGGGAGCTTGAAGGGGGCACAGCTCAACCTGACAAGGGGAGGGGGAGTGGTTGGCCCCAAACCAGCCCCATAGGTGGAAAAGGGAGCAAGACCTGGTAGCACAGGGGGAAGGAAAGGACCTGGCTCCAACTGGGCATTGAGGGCTTGACGTTTGGGAATTTGTCAGGGGGGAGGGTGACTGTATTAATGGCCACTGCTCCCCTGCCAACCACATTTCCTGACCTGTGGGGAGCCCTGGGAGCCAGGTGCAGTGTGTTCGTGGTCTGCGTCTGGCCTGCGGGCTGGAAGCTGAGCACTATGATCCACAGGGCCTTCGAATGATCAGCATTGCCATTTTCTTTAGCCACTTGCAAAAAAGAAAAAAAGTTATTTCCTTCAGGAATACAGGAGGATCCTTTCATTCACGTATTTTAGGATGTCATAAACCAGCCATAGTAAAAAAAACACTTTATCCAAAAATACATAGTACAGCAATGCTCATGCGCGCAGAGATATACCTAATACAGTGCTAAGTAATATATACTTACAGGGAGGGAAGTATCTGGAGACTGAAGAAAACCCTGTACGTTCTGAAGTGAAAGTAACTTTTTGTTGTTTATTTATCCAGAGCTACTTATTTAGTCGTGGAAAAGGTGTGTGGTGTGGAATAAATGACTACATCAGGGCCAGTCCTAGTTTCACTAGCCTCTAATTTTAAAATGTCTAAAGTAGTTTAAAACCACACTTGATTTAAAAATATCCTAAATTGTCTGGCAAGCTTTCATCCAAAGCTAATTATCGTGAAGAACCTAATCATTAACTGGCAGCCTCAGAATTGTACGGTGTCTCTAAAGATGTGGTCTCCATGACGATGGTTTGGCATTCAGCCTACAAAAATGTGTGGGGGTATTTAAATTTGCACACTCATGAGTGGTCCCCCTGAGGTCAGTGACTACAATCAGACTGTTCTCAATGCATAAAGTAAGCACTTAGGTCCTGTGTCTTACAAAAAGCATACTATGTCCATTAATGCTTTAGCACTATTTTAGTCTGCTTTTACCACAAATATAGTAAGCAATTTTATGGGCAAGGCACATCTTTAGACCGTTTTCCAGGAGACAGGATAACTTTTCACTGTTAGTGTATATAAATGCCAGCAGATATGGAATGCCATAATTAAAAATAAGGAGAACAGTAGGCCATTAATCAACAATTTGAGGATGTGCAAAACTTTCTAAATAAGCTTTTATTATATTATAAAATTATAAAACATATTATTATATGTCTACTAAATAGGCTCTTTACCTAAAAGAAGATGGCTGATCCTTGGCAAGAATGCATGGATTATGCAGGCACTTTAGCAAGAAAAGCTGGAGAGGTAAGAGACTCTATATATGTTACATAATATTTCTTGAAAACTCAGATAGGCCTTTTGGAGAAATCTAGCTTTTAAGCCTGGCCAAATGTTCTACCTGTGTTTTGTCAAAAATATAAATTGTTATCCATCTTTCATGGCAGAGTGAAGTGTTGAGTTCAAAATTCTCTCTCCAGTTTCTCAGCTGGGATAATTTAGAAGAAAAAATATGTGGCTTTTTGAGTCATTGTCTAGCCATGATTTGTATTTTGTCCCTGACCTGCAACAAAAGCACTGTAAAGAAGGAAAGCAGCATCTCTCACTTTTCTCTTGCAGCACTTTGATCTTCTGCCCAAAGGCTGACAGTCTTTCCACAAGTTCTTTCACAGCCCCTTATCTCTCCTCTTTGCCCTGTGCAAACAGGTTGTATAAGTCTCTATTCCATCCCTCCTTATCAAGTTTCTCTCCCTTAGTGTAGATCAGTAATTCCCAAAGGTTGTCCTGTGGCACATTATTGCAGAGAGGAAGTATGCTATGGGATCCCCTTGTGTGTGAAGGTAAATGCTCTCTTCTCCCATCTGGCACCCTGCTCTTGCCCCAGTTACTTCAGTCTGGAACAGCCTGCCACCAGAAGTGGTTCAAGCGCCTACATTGAACACCTTCAAGAGCAAACTGGATGCTTATCTTGCTGGGATCCTATGACCCCAGCTGACTTCCTGCCCTTTCGGCAGGGGGCTGAACTCGATGATCTTCCGAAGTCCCTTCCAGCCCTAATGTCTATGAAATCTATGAAGCTATGCCTGCAATTGCTTCTCTAGGTACTGCTGTTGCAGCTGCCTTCCCTGCCCTTCCACAGCCCCAGGCAGCCCCTTTATTGGCCACCACCATGCTTCCAGTAGCATGCTCTTCTGTGAATGGGCAGGTGGAAGGACCCACAGATAGGGCTGTGCTTTGAAGCCTGGCTGATCCCCTCCACTCCTCCTCTGCTTCTGGGGATGGCAGAAAGGGCCATAGGTGTGGATGCCAGCATGTGAGACCCTGCCTGAGCAGCCTTAGTAGCAGGGGCTGCCCTTGCCCTCTGAAGTAGAGACCAGGGGGCAGACAGTGGAAAGAACAAGGTGTAGCAGTGTTAGATCCTGCTCCCACCAACCTTAAGTGGCACCAGCTGGATCAGTGATTCTCAATTTATTTACTCTCAAGGCCCCCCCTCCACATCTTATCTGTTAGAGATTTTCAGCTGGGTGAAGCAAATTCAGAAAAGTAATGGAGTTATTTTTTCAACAGTACTCCTCAGCACTGGTATGATGTCTTCTAGCCTGGGAATGAAATGTTACATGTTTAGGGAAAAAAAAAGTGTGCGGTGCACACAACCTTTTGGGTGTAAGAGTGAAATTTTCCACCAGTTTTAATTCAGGAAAAAAGTGTCTCCCAGTTGGAAACATTAGTGTAAATGACTGTAGTCTGACGTTACAGTAGAATAAAAGAAGAGACAGATCTCTAGTTATAATGATGGCCAGATCTTTACCTATTACCTTTGGTTTTACAGTGTATCACCTGTAACCCAAAGAGCCATGCAGTTTTCAGAATTTCATTAAGTTGCTTCAATTATCTCATTAAATTTTTTTTTTTTAATTGTCTCATTTCTGCTCAGGGCCCTTAGATGCATTTTTTTGGTCCAGAGGCATAAATTCTTACTCCTGCTTGTCTTGCATTGGCTGCAGTCAGATATACATTGTCTGCCCTGGAATACAGATTTCAGCATTTTCATTCAGCATTGTAGTATTATTGTAAATTACTACATTATTATTAGAGTGTCAATTTTGAAAAATTCTAACGAAATAGAGGTGCACAAGGTTTCATTCTCAAATGGGACTTTTTGTGAAGCACCTAAAATACATATGTAAGTTTACTAGGATTGTGGTGTAGATTGGAGGGTGGAGAGCCCTGAGTTCATGTTTTCTAATTCAGGATTCGTCACTGATTTCGTTTGTGTCTTTGCATACTGGACAAATTGTAATAAATTGAAGAGATCATCATTGTTTTGAGTTTGTGTGCGGAAATAGAATATCTAGTGTTTTCCAGGAGTTTTATTTTAAAAAATAATTTTCTTTTCAGGTTGTCCGTGAAGCACTGAAAAAAGAAATATCTATTATGACTAAAAGCTCCCCAGCAGATCTGGTAACTGTTACAGATCAAAAAGTGGAACAAATGATTATTTCTGCAGTAAAAGAAAAATATCCTTCTCACAGGTATAACTTCTGTTTGTATTAAAAATGCTGTCTTGGAAAGTAGTGACCAAAAGAATAGATCAGGGGCTGGCAACCTACGGCGTGCGTACCCAACGTGGCACACGGCATGGTTTTTATTAGCGTGCGGGCTGCTTCCCGCCCCAAGAGGCGGGAAGAGGTGTGCCCAAATTGAGCAGCACGTGGCTGCCTGGGAACAGCCTTGTGCTTCTGCTGACCCTTGCCACCTCTGGACCCCAACCCTGGAACGCCTCCAACCCCAGCCAGGTAAGAGCCCCTGGCCCCAGTCTTAACCCCCTTGCAATGGCTCCGGCCCCAACCCCACGCTGCTGGCCACATGCCACCGGCAGGCCCCAGCCGGCACCCCCACTGCCGTGGGCCCTGGGCCCGGCCACGTGCGGCCCCAGCCAGCACAACTACTGCTGCAGGCTCTGGCCCAGTGCCAACACCGGGGCAGAGCCGTCAGCGGTGTTGGGATGGGGCTAGGGCCGCAGACCTACACGGGCCCTGGCCCCATCCCGGAGCTACAGACAGCCCTGGCCACCGGCAGGCCCCAGCCGGCACCCCCACTGCCGTGGGCCCTGGGCCCGGCCACGTGCGGCCCCAGCCAGCACAACTACTGCTGCAGGCTCTGGCCCAGTGCCAACACCGGGGCAGAGCCGTCAGCGGTGTTGGGATGGGGCTAGGGCCGCAGACCTACACGGGCCCTGGCCCCATCCCGGAGCTACAGACAGCCCTGGCCATGTGCTGGCAGCAGGGCTGGCCAGCACTACCGCCGCCACCAGGGCAGGCTGTTGGCAGCGCCGGGAGGAGGGCACGGG